CAGAGCAGACTGTTAGGGTAGGTTTAGGGTTAGTAGAATAAGTTGACAAATAAAGTGTTAGAAGATATTAAGCAGACAGTCTACTAATACTCTACTAACTCCTAGTTGACATGTAGTTGCAAAGTTACTTACTGTTAATAGAATGTCTAAAGTGAACTATCGAAATAAAGTGTTACCATTTTTTGTTTTTCCAAATGTATCATCTAATCAATGTTTACATGCATGTAAAAATGTTCTGTTCCTAAGTGTCAAGCGTTTTTATAAAACTAAGTTTAGCCTACTTGTGGTATTGCAGGATTGGTGGTGCTGTAGACTCCATATGATGTATCGCTTGTCTTTTCACCAAGTCACCTTGAAAATCATATGCTAAGTGAATGAATCTAAATGTATTAAAAACATTTTTCACACTGCAGAGTGATGAAGGAAAATAAATCTGATATAAAAAAAAGATGTAATCTCCTTCTCTGACACGTTTTTTGGGGTTGTTGTTCATGTTTCCTTCTATTCTTTGAAGCTTCAGGGGTGAAAGAGAATCATGTCATATGCACGTTTAAAAAAACTTATTTTAAGATTACAACAACAAATAAACTGTGTATCCTGTCTATCTTATGTTACCATTTTACCATATTTGTAACTATTCATTTAAAACTATACAATGACATGACATGACTGCTAGTATTCATTTATAATTTACTATTAATATTTTCAACTATCTTTTATTTTTTATATTTTCAGTCTTTCTTTTAATTTTATTACCGTATGTGCTTTTATGATTTTTGTTAGTTCTTGTTTTGTTTTGTTTTTTACATATCATTTCTGTTTAGCTTGTATTTTTTGTTTTAGTTGTAGTTTTAGCCAATTTTTTGCGTTATTTCAATTACCAAAAACAGGTTTTAGTATTTTTTTGTTACCAGTAACAACACTGAAACACACAGGACTTTCACCAATATAAATTATAAAAGAGTAAAAGATTGTTTAGAAAATATGTCAGAAAGCAGCAGTTGCTGGAAGGACATGTTAGTGACTTTTAAAGAAGGGTTCATTCTCATCACTGTAATGTGTCTGGATGATTTTCTTTTTCTTTTTTTGCAAGAAATACTTATTTTCTTTTGATTTTGAATTTAAATACCCATATAAATTTCACTGAGATCCATATAGACATCAAACTAAAATAAATAAATAAATGAATGACTTCTTATTGACTCTTTTTCACTTTGAATTCATTCAGGATTATAAAGTATTATAAAGTTCAGTCAATGCGGTCTGGGCATTCTGGATGCAGGACACTGTGAGATCCCAAAACTCAATTGAACATTCAGACTCTTTGTCTGGCTGAACGACTGGACCATGAAGAATTGCAGATTTGTTTCTGAGGTGTTGTAATTCTTGCGGGTCTCTCTCTCTCTCTCTCTCTCTGTGCTGTCTCTCCCTCTTATATCTCTCTCTCTCTCTGTGCTGTCTCTCCCTCTTATACTGACCGATTTCAAAGAGGAGCACCCCCTCCCTTCACATTTGCTGTTCTGTTTCCACATTTCCACAGCAACCGAGCTTCGCTCTGTTTTGCCCCCTTTTTTGTTTTGCACGGGGGATGCATCTCATAATGGAGGTCTAAAGGGAACAGGAAGGGAACACTAGCAGATAAGGGGGAGGCTGTGGGCCAAAGCTGTGAAAAAGCAACAAAAACAGTAAGAAATGCATTGATAATGACATCACCAGCATTTCCCACAGTGGCCAGTGTCTTAATGGGAGCTGGAGCTTCCATTCATCGGTCCGGGGTTGGCTTTCCAAGAGCCTGGGGAGGCCAGCGCTCCCTTCATCTCAATGGGCTTTTTGTTGAGGAACAGAGGAGCTGTTTCTAGGCTTGTAGAAAAGCTCAGCTAATTCACTTTAGGGTTACCAGGAAGCCTGAGCCCGCAAGGTTGGCAACAATGGCAAACTTGATTGCTTCACTTCGATGGCCCAAGAATTCCCAGCTGGAGCACCAGAATTCAAATGGGAACTTGTTTTCTCTTTTCTGTATGTTTCTTTCTCTCGCCGCCCCGCCTCTGTGTCCACACACATTTATTTCTTCATCTCTTCATCTGATGGGATCTCATGGCTGTCTGACTGACCCTGACATATTTCAGGGAGGGACAGTGAGGAGTCTTTCTCATTGAGCACTGGCTCTGCGTCTGATGTTAGAGTGCCACCAGTAGGTTTTGGAGAGCAAGGTCTGAGAAAAATGCAGTCTGTAAAAAATAATAATTTTGTAAATAAAGATTATTGGAGTATGTTATAGAAGAACATACGATTTTAGTCTTCCTACTTCAAAATTCCATGTTTAACTGAATGTGTTACTTCTCATTTCTTGGTAATTAATTGTGAAATTAATGAATTGCTATTTATTTTTGCCAATAATAATGAAGATAGAATACATATATTGCAAATATATTAGTTATTATTATTATTGTTGTTGCTGTTGTTTAAAAAAATTTGAAAATGCATTATTGCAATTTCACTGCAGTGCATTCAAATTTTCTAAATTTACAGCAGAAGTATATTGAACATTAATCTGTAAACAACTTCTATAGTATAAAACTTCAGTTGTATTAGAATTAAGTCTTAAAAAGTTTAGTTATATTACCATAATCTTAATTAAAATGATAAAAACCCAATTAAATTGGCATCATTTTTGTATTTATTACAACAGAAGTACCAGAAGTAAATATCCTCTTAGATAGAACAGGCTTCAAATTTCAAAGTCAAGAGTCAAAAAGGTTAAGAACCTCTGCCCTTTAACATTTAGCTTAACTTAAAAGTAAAGAAACGACATCTAACTGAACAAAGCATAAAACAACAGATGTAACAGAAATCTGTTTAATACAGGGGTATCCAAGCCGAGCCAGTGTCATGCAGAGTTTAGCTCCAGCACACTTGCCTGGAAGTTACTAATGAGACTGAAGAGCTCGATTAGCTGCTTCAGGTGTGTTTAATTATAGTTGAAGCTAAAGTCTGCAGGACACCGGCCCTCCAGGAGCAGGTTTGAACACCCCTGGTATAATAGCATAATTTGAGCAACGCCATGTTTCTCTCCTGTGTGGATGCCATGTGGCATAACTTTAGAGAGTGAAATATGTAAGTCTTTGACAATGTTTACAATAAAACAGTCACGTTACATGAATACTTAAATGTTTCTGCCACAGCTATATCAAGAAGGCACACATTCATTAGTGATTAACCTGAGCTGTGGCGTCAACAGCAGCTGACAGGGTCAGATATGTATGTTAGTGTTAGATAATGTATGTTAGATAAGATGTTTGGTCCTGATAATGTCTCAATACATGTACTGTACAGTACATGCTATTAAGCTGTTATTGCTGAATCTGTTAATAACAATGAAAAGTCTTTTGCTGAGGCATGTAGAGGTGTATAATCACACCTCAGTCAAGTTCAAATTCTTGTTCTTTGACATTTTTTATTTTTCACAAGTGTAAATATTTAGACTTTTTGAACATTACTGCATTTTTTAAAAATAAAATAATAAAAGAGGGGAAAAAAAGCAAACGTGGTAAAATAGAGTAGGCTAAGCTTTGAAAATGAATCTTTTGATCATTTCGGTTCTATTCGGTCAAACCCGTTGGCAAAGACATCCGAATCCTGTAAGGTAGAAAGGGGGAGCGCAAACAACATTTTGTATTACTGCGTTTCCAAAAATAGACTCACCTGCCCTTTACACTGTTCATTATCAAGTGCTATGGTTTATGGTGTTTTGGACATGAACCAGAGTATCATGTAAATATCAGGGTAGAACATGAATTCCAGTATCATATGTGTTATGCATCTGATACCATCACTATGGTAGTGTCACAGTATGTTTTGTGAGGGATATTCAACAAATTCTCCCTTCATTATATAGTTGCACCTTATGCTTATTATTAGCAGATATATTTGCTTCTGTGCATTTGTGTGCTGCCAAAGACCAGTCAATACCACACTTTTAGTAGATGATAATGAATTTGGCCATCAGCTGATTTTTTTATAGTCTATGATCCTAATGAAAAGTTTAGCTAGATATTACCACCAGTTCATCTAGTAATGATATTATACTTCTACTTCCACATATAAACAATGCATTTTATGTTTAACAGACCTAATGTCAGTATTAGACAGACACACAGATATGAATTAATTGGTAAATATATAAAGATTCACTAGTAAATAGGAATATACATTTCTATACAGCTGTGCATTTTTCCTCAAGATTCAACACTTGCCAGTAAACACACACACACACACACACACACACATAGGCCTAGTTATTCTAGCAGTTCTATGTTGTTTCGTAGGAATACAAAGGCTTATGATGTGTGCTGAAGTGTTTGTGTTACCTTGCCTTTCCTTTCCCTAAGTTGTCTTTTGCTGACATCTTTTGGACGATGACAGAACTACAGGCGACAACTACAGGTGGTATTTTCAGCAAGGGCTTGTTTAACAGGCAGAGCCTGGAGTCAATAGGGCAATAGCATGTAATATGCAATTAAACTGTAATATAAGTAAGCCTAGATATCTCTCAGTAAATGAGACTTGTAAACTGACTATCTGTCAGGCGTCTTCTATCTGGGCTTTTTCATTTAAATGACTGTAATTGAAATTCCTGAACCATACTACAAAGCTTAAGCAAGATTCAGATAGACCACTGATTCATGAACCAATTATTTATTACAAAAAATGCAAGACAGAACTCTTAAAACTGTAATCTAATGGCAAACACAATACAAAAACATGTAGGTCTGCTGCATTGAGAGATGAAATCGTAACAGCAATTGAAAAAGAAAAATGACAAATTCAAACCAAAATATGAAGTGTGTGTAAAGGACAGTGATAAACCTTATATTATTGAGATTAAAAACAATGACAATAAAAGATCCATAAGCATATAACTTATGCTTTAAGAACAAAAGGGATATTTAAAAACAACCAACAACTCCAAAAAAAAAACTAGAGTACCAAGAGCTTTTTTCTTTTTTAATAACATCATTCTGGGTGGAAGTATCATCAGTGCTTCATACAGCATCCCAACGTCTCATTTTTCAAACACCATAGTAATTGCTATTCAATTTCAATTCAGACAGCACATGGTGAGCAAAAGTCCTGCCGCGTATGAAGATGGAACATGAGGCTGATTACACGCCTTTGATGAGCTGAACTGCAGGTCTTCAGTGCTGCATTGAAGAGCTTTGCTCTTACACAAAGTAGCTGAGGGCACTTGATACATTTTTTCAAAATGCGTGGAAGATATTTCGGTGCCTCGTTCCTTTGAGGTTTTGACCGGGAGATCCAAAGTCGCATCACAATTTCCTAAAGCTGTAGTGCTTGTCTAAAAATACAATAGTGCAATGCTTGTTAAAATATGAAATCCCTTGGCTATTCCATAACTTATGAAGATACAGAAAAATAAATCGGATAGAACTTATTTTTGCAACTGCAACTTTTTACACATATACAGCAGAAGTAAAAAGCACACATTTTGCGGGTATATCCTTTTCTCATATTCACTCAAGTGCACACGCACAAATTTAAATGAACAATATTTTAAGCACATCTGTACAAGTCCATGTCCAATAAGCATCGAATGTATTATCATAAATACCCTCCATGGACACAATGGATTTCATATTTTGACAAAAGAACAATCAAAGAGGAAATAAGTACCAAAGACAACATGTTGAGGAAACCAGTTAAATCCAGAACAATTGAAACACCCCAAAACACTTGTTAGTCCAGAGTACAGCTTATCCATTTGCACTCGTCCAGCAGTTTATACCTGTATATATATGTTTTTATATCCTATAAAACCATACAGCAACCTGTTTTTGTGTCTCCAGACTTCAGGTGAGAAAAGCCTTGCATTTCATTGTCTAGGAAATTAGGTCACTAAATAGAATTACAGGATAAATAATTGATTCAAACTGCACACTTAATGGAACAACATTCGAGTAAATTGCACATAAATGTACTTCTTGCATACAAAACTCTGGTTCCTACTAACAAACTTGAATTCAATCTGACCTTTGCCCCTCCCCTCCCTCTACTACAACCCGCACCTTAATAAGTACTTTATTTTGGGTTCACAGATTCAGTGCAATAAAAGGAAAAATAAATAACACCTACATTTCTCTTTTGTTTTTCTTGTGGATACCTAAAAATGAAGGAACATAAATTACACGATTTGGCTTGTAAATAATTACTTTGCCAATAAACTGAACGAACAAAACAAAAGGGAATGTCAACCAAAAAAATTTATGTTTTATATTAACAAAGGTGGATACCACATCCCCTAAAGGTGGCCAAAAAGGGCTATAATAATTACAAGAATATTAGATAGAACCCACACAGCCAGGGACGCCACACCCAAATTACAATTTCGTAAAACAAACTAAACAAAACCTAATTTTTCCCCATCAGCTAAGCCTTGACAGTTCCTGAGCCTCGGTCTTTCTCACTCTGACTCATATTCCAGCGGGGCCACCTCATCGATGACCAGTTCCTCTTCGCACTTAATGTCTTCCTGTTTCGGGGACAATTTTATCATCGTGTGGACCTTCTTATGGCGTGAGAAACTGGAGGAGTGAACGAAAGTTTTCCCGCACTGTGGGCATTCGTAGAGTTTTCCCGATGCGTGCGTTTGCTGGTGCTGCTTGAGGTTGGAGAGCCGAATGAAGGTCTTCTTGCAGACGTTGCAGGTGTAGCACTTGTCGCTGGAGAGTCTGGCGGTGTGGCTGAAGCGTTTCTCACACATGCGCTCATCGTTCGGCAGGCACAACCTCTTCTTGCCCCCTTTACCGTGCTTGTTCTTTTTGCACAGGGTGTAGTAGTTGGGCTTGTCGCGGGAGCAGAGCTTCAGGCGGATCTTGAGGTCCGAGGACTTGTCGAGCGAGGCTTTGCCGTGCGTGTAAGAGTTGAGCAGCTGTCGCACGTGAGCCACCTGGTGCTTGGAGAGTCCCGCGGAGTGGCTGAAGACCCTGTCGCATTGCGTGCACTGGTACTGCTTTTCTCGCTCGCCTGAGGAGAGGCTCGCCGTTCTTTTACTCGTGCCGTGGCTGGATGGGAAATTGTGCTGGGTCATGATGGGAGCCAGGGTTGGAGTTGGGTACAACGGTCTGATGTTTTCATCCAAACCTTTTTTGTGGATTAACCGATGCCGCGACAGACTAGAGCTGTGATTGAACGTTTTGCCGCAGGTGTTGCACGTGTGCAGTCTCTTGGTTTTGTGGCATTTCTTATGTATCGCCAAAAGCCGCTTGCCGTTGCACCTTACGCCGCATAGATTGCACTGGAGAGACTTTTTGTTGCCGCACAACTTGCCAAAATCTTTAGAGGAAGTGAGGGATGATCTATCCGAGTGTACGTGCAGATGGCGAGCAAGACTGGAGGAATGGCTGTAGCTCTTGCCACAAAAGCGGCAGTTATATGTTCTAGCATGAGACACCTCCCTTTCCCAGCAAATATCAGAAAGGTCCTCCTCAACGCACAACTGGCTATTCCCTGCTTCTGTGTTGAAGATGAAGTCTGACTCACTGCCCACCTCCTCCTCATGCGTCGCAATCAAATCTGGAGCTGCTTCGTCACATTCTGGGAAAACTGTGTCGTAAGGGACATAGAACGTCTCATCCGGTTCGACTTTCACCATCTGATTGGCGGTGAAGCAAGCATCCTCGTCCAAATCCTTTTTCACACAGGTTATAGTGAATTTTGAGCCCACCTCGGCCCACTTGACCACATATTCGATGGGCTGGGTGTCAAGTTCTACCGTGATGAAGTCTGCTCCTAAAGCGTCCTGCTCGGAGCAGGTCAGCTCTGTTTCTGTCTCCTCCATCTTCACGGCCCTTCTGTTGTTTTCTCGCTGGGGAGCTGTGACTAGTCCAGGCTTAATTTACACCTCAGCTAATCCTAGTAGGAAACAAAAACAAACAAAAAAAAATCTCGAGTTTGATTAAACAGTACCAGCAATAATAACATGCATACAGTATTTTCTTTGAGAATAATGCCTGACAATTCGTCTGGTTTAGAAACGAACAGAAGTGAATCTCCCCATTTGTGTCAATATGTCAATGAATAAAGAACTATCTCTGTTAAAAGATAAAGTTCGTTTCATGTAGCTAGCGAGTAAAACAGACGTTTTGTACAGTCACGGGAAACTATTACCACATGTATATCAGCATTACATTAATCGCAGGCCATTGAAAAAACTATTTATGCCGGAGACTCGTGATCTACGACAGTGGTTCCCAACCCTGGTCCTTGAGGCACCCCAACACTGCACGTTTTGCATGTCTCATTAATCAAACATACCTGATTCAGGTCATCAGCTCATTAGTAAAGACTTTAAGACCTGAAACTGGTGCGTCAGAGAAAGGAGACGTGCAAAATGTGCAGTGTTGGGGTGCCTCAAGGACCAGTGTTGGGTACCACTGATCTACGATGCAAGATATTTTACGTCCTCTTGCATGGATATTTGTATAGGCTTTTAAGCTTATATGCACGCCTACAGTATAATGAAGCTTGGATGTATCTGCAGCATTAACAAACATCAAGCAGACTTCTCCACGACTGACATTAATGAGATCCAAACAAGACCGTTCAGAAGAATCAGTCTTACATTTAAGAGAAGGTTCTACGCTGACATTCTGACATTTACAGAATGCTCTTAAGAATCACTCTGACATTTAAAACACCGTTCTTTCTGGCATTAGAGGACATTCCGAGGAATCATTCAGACATTTAAAAAGCGTTCAGAAGAATCATTTGGATATTTGGAGAGCATCCTGAGGAATCGTTCTGACGTTCAGAGAACCTTCTGAAGATCCACTCCGAGATTCAGACACCGTCCTGAAGAATCGTCCTGAAGCTGAGAACATGTCGAACTGTAAAATGAAAGCGGACGTCCGCGCCAGGGTATTTCCTCATTTCCTCAAGTCTCGCCGATCTCCAATTTTCGCGTGTTTAGCGTTACCTTAGGCTTATTAGCTTATAAACTCGCCTTCTCTGGTCAAGCGTGGCAAAAGAAAAGCATAGCAATCTACTTGAAACCTCGGCAATTAAGGAAAAACAACCAAACAAAAGCGTCCCGACGGTAAACAGGAAACACAACTTGGCACGGTGCATTCTGGGAAAGGATTAAACTGGGCTGCAGCCGAGTGTGTCCACCTGCATTTAGTCTTCTAAAACATCCCAGCTCTCTTCTGTTCAAGATATCCACGTCAAGAACGTTTAAAGGTCTTAATACTGAAATGCGCTGCTAATCACTCTGCCCTTGTGATGCATGACTGTAACTTACACTTATTATAATGGCCAGGATTCAATCGGCCCGCCTTAAAATTGCACATATATTCAATTGCACATGTATCTCTCGCACCGAGGCCTAGATGTACACACACACACACACACACACATGCTGTACTTTCTGTACTACTGCCAGCCCGTGCTGAAATAGCTCGCACTTACGGTTGCTCGAAAGCACATAAATGTATAATCACTGACCATTTCGATGTATGCATGAGAGAAGACAGGCGGAGCCCAGAGGTATGCCTCTGAGCAAGACTCAGAGAGTGGCATATGGCCGGTGTTGACTGCATGATCTCAGATATATTTCAATCCCTCAATACAGTCACTGAGAGCCACTGTAATATTCTTCCTGTCGCCTCACTGCACTCCATGTGTTGATTAACCAGACGCGTCCACGGTTTGATCATTATGCACGCTTCTGAGTCCGTTCAAATGTATTTTAAAGCAATTACCAAGCATGTGATATGCTGTGTGGTGGGTGGAAATCGGCTCGGTTCTGCCGCACCTCTGTCAGATCATCGCCGACGACGAAACGGATGTCTTTTCTTTTTTTTCCCACCGGTGATGTACATACCATATGGATGGACTTCCGCATTCCACTGTCAGCACTACACCGCGAGCAATCGTGTCCTTGTGAACAGAACTGTTCATAACAGTATGAATACAAAAATGTGTTTCGAAGATCTGACACACAAAGTAATTCAAAAGAACTGTAAATTGGGTTTTTGTAATATTTCCCAAGTTACAGAAAAAGTAAATCCCTTTTGAAATAGCGTATGCTCATTCACAACAACGATTCATTGAATTGATCATTTATATAATAATAATAATAATGCCAGAGGAAATGAAAAGAGAAAATGTTGTTTTACTTAACTATCGAAATTAGTTTTAATAATAATATTGCATAGCTATTTTACTTTTGCAGTTATATAAACATACAGTACATTATTAGTTTTACATAATGTGTCAAATGAAAAAGAGGGTCTGGAGGCACTGAATCATTTTTATGCAGCATATATTCTTCAGTAATTAACAGTGTTGGGGGTAACGCATTACAAGTTACGTAATCAGATTACTTTTTTCAAGTAACTAGTAAAGTAACGCATTACTTTTTAATTTACAAGAGAATATCTGAGTTACTTTTTCCGAATAAGTAACGCCAGTTACTTTTTTTTTCTCCAATGTATTGATTGACGGCTCTCCTGTCCCCATGTTGAGAGAAATCAGATGTTACTGTAGTTCTACAATAAATATGAATATGCATTATCTCACGCACAAAAACACACAGATTCAGTATTCCTCAAAATGAATAAAAATAATGCAACTCAGAATATAACGCAAACCTGCAATAATTAAATGCTAAACAACACAAATATGCTTTATGTATTTAGTCTCATTCTATTAACCAATGTCTTCGATGATCCAGTTCAACCGTACTAATAAGCACAAATTACTCTAGACAAACATTTGTGTGTTTTCCAATTTTCGCGTGTTTAGCGTTACCTTAGGCTTATTAGCTTATAAACTCGCCTTCTCTGGTCAAGCGTGGCAAAAGAAAAGCATAGCAATCTACTTGAAACCTCGGCAATTAAGGAAAAACAACCAAACAAAAGCGTCCCGACGGTAAACAGGAAACACAACTTGGCACGGTGCATTCTGGGAAAGGATTAAACTGGGCTGCAGCCGAGTGTGTCCACCTGCATTTAGTCTTCTAAAACATCCCAGCTCTCTTCTGTTCAAGATATCCACGTCAAGAACGTTTAAAGGTCTTAATACTGAAATGCGCTGCTAATCACTCTGTCCTTGTGATGCATGACTGTAACTTACACTTATTATAATGGCCAGGATTCAATCGGCCCGCCTTAAAATTGCACATATATTCAATTGCACATGTATCTCTCGCACCGAGGCCTAGATGTACACACACACACACACACACACATGCTGTACTTTCTGTACTACTGCCAGCCCGTGCTGAAATAGCTCGCACTTACGGTTGCTCGAAAGCACATAAATGTATAATCACTGACCATTTCGATGTATGCATGAGAGAAGACAGGCGGAGCCCAGAGGTATGCCTCTGAGCAAGACTCAGAGAGTGGCATATGGCCGGTGTTGACTGCATGATCTCAGATATATTTCAATCCCTCAATACAGTCACTGAGAGCCACTGTAATATTCTTCCTGTCGCCTCACTGCACTCCATGTGTTGATTAACCAGACGCGTCCACGGTTTGATCATTATGCACGCTTCTGAGTCCGTTCAAATGTATTTTAAAGCAATTACCAAGCATGTGATATGCTGTGTGGTGGGTGGAAATCGGCTCGGTTCTGCCGCACCTCTGTCAGATCATCGCCGACGACGAAACGGATGTCTTTTCTTTTTTTTTCCCACCGGTGATGTACATACCATATGGATGGACTTCCGCATTCCACTGTCAGCACTACACCGCGAGCAATCGTGTCCTTGTGAACAGAACTGTTCATAACAGTATGAATACAAAAATGTGTTTCGAAGATCTGACACACAAAGTAATTCAAAAGAACTGTAAATTGGGTTTTTGTAATATTTCCCAAGTTACAGAAAAAGTAAATCCCTTTTGAAATAGCGTATGCTCATTCACAACAACGATTCATTGAATTGATCATTTATATAATAATAATAATAATGCCAGAGGAAATGAAAAGAGAAAATGTTGTTTTACTTAACTATCGAAATTAGTTTTAATAATAATATTGCATAGCTATTTTACTTTTGCAGTTATATAAACATACAGTACATTATTAGTTTTACATAATGTGTCAAATGAAAAAGAGGGTCTGGAGGCACTGAATCATTTTTATGCAGCATATATTCTTCAGTAATTAACAGTGTTGGGGGTAACGCATTACAAGTTACGTAATCAGATTACTTTTTTCAAGTAACTAGTAAAGTAACGCATTACTTTTTAATTTACAAGAGAATATCTGAGTTACTTTTTCCGAATAAGTAACGCCAGTTACTTTGTTTTTCTCCAATGTATTGATTGACGGCTCTCCTGTCCTCATGTTGAGAGAAATCAGAAGATGTTACTGTAGTTCTACAATAAATATGAATATGCATTATCTCACGCACAAAACAACACAGATTCAGTATTCCTCAAAATGAATAAAAATAATGCAACTCAGAATATAACGCAAACCTGCAATAATTAAATGCTAAACAACACAAATATGCTTTATGTATTTA